CACACAGTTCTGGAGGTCAGGGTGTGGGTATTGGAGGATCCTGACTGTAGAGAAAACAAAGCTGCCACCTCCAGCTTTGGGGGCGTCGGGTGTTGTTGGCTTGTTGGTGCATCACTCCGGTCTCTGCATGTCTCTTCATGCGGACTTCACTCTGGGTCTGTGTGTCTCTGGGTAGCATATGGCCCATTCCTTTGTCTTACAAGGAAGCCAGTCTTTTGGAATTAGGGTCCACCCTGAATCTAGGATGATCTCATCCTGAGATCCTTAATTATATCTGCAAAGACCCTATTTCCAAATAAGGTAATGGGAGTTAGGATTCAGATATATCTTTGGGGGTGGGACATAGTTCAGCCCACTCTAGTGCCTAAAGCAGGGATGAGGACTGACCCTGTTGACTCCCAGGGGACCCATGGCAGGTAGGATCTCTGCCACACACCTCCTTTTCAGACTCAGGATTTCCAGGCCTTTCTGAGCTGCTCCCAGACTACCCTACTGCTGAGGAGGGAAGAGAGGCGTGCTGTTGGGAGGACAGCCTGGTCTTACTAAATACCCACTCTGGATGATTTGCAGTGGACAAATTTTAAAACTCTCCCTCTCTTTCATTTTACAGAGCACAGCGTATTCTCCCCTTCCCCATCCCAGTTCCCCTGGGGTATCATCCCTACATCATTTCTAATTTCTTCTCACTCAGTTACCAAACATTTGAAATGTTAAGACACAAAAAAGACTCAGATAAACAAAACTCACATTATTTTGTGTTTCTGGGTTTGTCTTCTACAGAGGGCAGAACCTGGCAGCCTGGTCAGGGATGATGCTGCCACAGAGGACTGAGCTAGGTTCTCTCGGTTTAGAGGAGGACTTCTGTGCCATCTGCCCTCTCTGCATGCCAGGCACCTCTGAGCCCCATGCTCGGGTTTGACCATTGGCAGTCTGCCAGTGTGGGGACGTTACACTGATTCACGGATGCACTTTGTTATCAATCCCCCGTGAACCTGCTTCCAGAAGTCCTGCAATCCCTCTGCCTGCCTGAAGTTCTTGGCATGATTGTTTCTCCCTTGCACCTCCTGCTGCCAGCATGTGCCAGCGTCCTCTGCTCTCAGTCACTGTCCACAGACCGTCTGCTTTCCAGTTTCCAAAACTGATTGCTTAGACTCCTCGCCTCCTCTTGTACTTGGAGGTTTATGTTATTTTTATTCTTTTGCAGTCATTCTAGTGGTGTTTGAGGAAGGAAAGGAGGTAAATGCATATATTTTGGTTTCTGTGTTAGTTAGGTTTTTGTCACTGTGAACAAAATACCTGTCAAGAACAACTTAGAGAAGGAAAAGTATATTTTCGCCAAGTGTCAGAGATTCAGTTCATGGTCAACAGACTGCATTACTCTGGGCCCAAGGTGAGACACAACACCTTGATGGAAGGATGTAGTGGAGGAACATTGCTCAGCTCATGGTAACTAGAGAGAGAGACATACAGAGAGACGACAGACCAACTAAGGGACAAGATATAATCCCTGAGGGCATGTCCCAATGATCTACTTCTTTTGGCTATTCTCTACCTGTTTCCATCTATAGTTGTCACACAGAATTCCATTCAAATTATTAACCCATCAATCCACTGTTAGATTACAGCTATCGTAATCCAATCATTTCACTTCAGAACATTCCTGCATTAACAGAGGAGCTTTTGGGGGGACACTTCATATTTAAACCATATCAATTTACCATGTTTCACTGGAAGATCTTGTTTTCACTGGCTTTTTTTTTTTAAAAATCACAGTTATTAGTAAGCTTAAACATCTTTCCATCAATATATTGGTTATTTATATTTCTTTTGTAAATTTTTTATTCAAGTACTTTGTCCTTGGGAATGTTTTTATTATTATACTGTAAAAAGCTCTTTTTATATTTAATTTATTAACTTTCTGCTTCTCACATGGGTCGTATTTTCCCCAGTTTAATTTGTCTTTCAACTTTTATGTCCTTGAAATCTGTTTATTGTTTTACTTTATCATTTCTGGGCTCTACATCATACTTAGAAATGCCTTCTCCACTGCAATATCGTGAAAATGTTTACCCATATTTTCTTCTAGTGCTTTTAAGATTTTTCTTCCTTACATTTAAATATTTGGTCCATCTGATATTTATTTTGAAGCAAGAAATGAGATATGGGTGGATCCAGCTTTGTTTTTCCCAAATGCCTAGCCAGTTGTCCCGACACCATTTAATGAACAGTACACTTTCCTTCATTGATTTGAAGTGACTTCGGCATCATGTGCAGTTGCGTCTATTCTTGGACTCTGTGTGCTGTTCATTCATCTTCTGCTTTCACTTGATTTCTGTGGCCTTTATTCTGGATTGCAGAGTCTGGTAAGCCAAGGCTCTAGGCTTTATTCTTCTAAATGCTCCCTGCTCTCCTTATATGCTATATTTCCAGATGAATTTGAGTGTCATTTTCATTTCCAAAGTAAATCCTCATAGGATTTCCAATGGACTTGTAAAATCATATATCACAAAACATTTCCCCCAAATTAGAACCCCTCCATAGGGGAAAATGTTGTACTCTTGGGGACTATAACTAGATAAGAGATATCTCTAAGAATGTCATCATCATCACCATCACCAACATCAGTACTGTCATCCTAATTCACTTATTCTCTGAGAAATAGGATTTCAATATCACTTTACCTAAGGAAGTCCCTACTTTTGGTTAACAACAACAACAAAAAAATTCAGGTTACAATTTCCACCTCTAAAACTTTTCTACTTTTCAAAAGAATAACTTATCACACTTCCTTAAAAGTGACTTACAGAGCTGGGGTTGTGGCTCAGCGGTAGAGCACTCACCTGGCAGGTGCGAGGTCCTGGGGTCAATCCTCAGCACCACATAAATGAATGGAATGAAGGTATCGTGTCCAACTACAACTAAAAATACATAAATAAATATTTTTTAAAAAGTGACTTACAATCTGATGGATAGTTGGAGATCAGTTATATCCAGGGCTATTTTACTAGTAAGATACAAATGGAATTTTTCTCTTAAGGAAACTAAAAACCCAGTTCCATAATGTCAATACCAAGCACTGTGAACTTCAAACAACAAAAAGAAGGGAGTCCTGAAGGTTGTAACTTTTATTAAGATCATCAACCTTTGGTTTAAGCACTTTTCTACAAAACTCTCGTACAGCCTCATTTATGCTCCTAATATTGCAAAGAGGTAACTAGCAGTTACTATATCAATATCCAGTATCTGGAGACAAACATAGATTAGTGATGTGCCCAAGGTTGTTATCCAAGGAACTAGCCAGCTCAGTGGTGGTGGGTGGTGCTGGGTAGCTGCATGTCTCAAGGCTCCAAACCCATCTAGTGTTTTCTCCTAAAGAGCAGAGTCAGCAGAGAAGGGCCTCTCAAACCAAGAAGGGTACTCAGGAACAACTATTACCTGGAGGTTGCTTTACTGCTGGAACTTGGCACTTGAGTCTGGCTGCTGTGACCACCATGTGGGTAGGGAGCCATGGAGAAGCTGCCAGCCTCGGTCACAGCACCACCTCTGTCCTGTTTTCCTGGCATTGTACCGATCCCTCCTAAGCCTGTCTGTGACTCTCATCCATGTCTTCCGAAGCCTTGTTCTGTTTTATAAGGGAATGCTTCATGCCTGAGGCAGAAGCCTAGATGTTCCCGAGGAGCCTGTGTATCTCCAATCAGACAGATCCTAGAGTTAAACCGTGGATGGCATTTGTTTCTTTCTCTCTGCCCGGATGGCTTACACCATTTGAAGAAGAAAACATGGAGGGGAAGATCTGGCTAATATCAGATTTGTTTAACAGATATTTTATTTGCTTTCCCTTTCCTTTGCCATCACTGGGGATTTGGGCTTTGAAAGAGTGTCTTTTAACATGGCTGGACGAGGGGTTAGGTGCTCTGCGGTCTCCATGAAGGTTGTAAGATTATGTCTTTCTGGTGACTGGTGTCCAAGACTTCAAATAACCAAATAGGGTAAGTTAGCAGTAACCAAGGGAAAGCAGCCCACGAATGGACTCTGTCTTGGGAAAGGTCTCTCTGATGCCTGCTCAATCTGCAAGGGCACAAGGCCACAGTAACCCCTTCTTAAATGATGCTCCTTTTTCCAGGAGGTCACAGAAGCCTCTGGTCCGTTTAGTCTCTAAAGCCTTGAACTTGGAGCCATATTCCCTACCTGGCATCATTTAAGACACCAGCAAAACAGATGGGTTTTAGGGATACTGGATTCATACACCATAGCCTAGGAACCGGAGTGGCTGTCCCTGTGATAGGGGAAGCCACTCTCTGTGACCTTCAGTGATCTGCCAAAACACAAGGGCAGGAATGGAACCACATCTGGTTCTCTGACTTAGGAGCAGAATCAAATGTTTATCAGTGGTGACTTGATCTCTGGAGTTTTGTTTCTTGTTATTCATTTGTTTGTTTTGTTTCAGTTTTAACAGCCCCAGAACTCATCTGTTCAAGGCTTCCTCCCTAGTACTTCACCCTGCCAGCCCAAACTCACCGACACCTTGATCTTGGACCTCAAGCCACCAGAACTATGACAAAATAAGTTTCTGTCATTTAAGCTACCCAGTCTGTTCCATAAGGTCATGGCAGCCCTAGCAAACTAATAGAGATTTCCAGATTGGGAACCAGCCTTCAGTAATTTTCTTTAAATTAAATTTATTTTGAACTGATACACAAAATATAAATGTACACATTAATGGGGTAATGTGATGTTTGGATACGTGCTACCCTGTGTGTACCTTGTAATGTGTATTTTATTTTATTAGGATTTTCATTCTAAATTATTCCAGTCCCAGGGAACATTGCTATTTTCAACAGTTTGGGTTTCTCCTAGAATGCTCTAAAATATAAGCTATAAAATAAAAGCTAAGGAAATGAGGAGTTTTTTTTAACAAGGGTGTTTTTCATGTTTTTCAGATCTCTCACACAAAGCTTTCTGCGGATGATGAGTGGAAGTAAGTGATCAGTATTTTTTTATAATCGCTTTATTAAAAATTAGATTCACATCTTAACAGTTTGAGAAACTGAATGAAGTCATCAGTTCATTTGTATATTTCCTGGGATAAAGAAGGTGGAATGAGGAAACCGTGTAGCTACAGCAAAAAGGTACTTCAAACCAAATCTGCACGGATTTCATGTGTTTGCTAGTGTGATCCATGCAATCCCACAAAGCTGGATTAACATATTCTTCAAAATATGGCAGTATCAAGTGGCTGTTTATTTTAGGCACATAAAACATATGAATTTCTTTATGTGCTGGGACCTACAATGGGACTCTTGGACACTGTGAGCACCGCAAAAAGAGGAGAAATGAAGATTTCTTCCCTTTTTTGTCGTATGGTGATCAATTATGAATGTATCCCTACTCAAAACTGGAAATACTTTTTACATTGTATATCAATTTGTGATCTTTGAAGTTCTTCCACATAGATCAATCCATTTGCTATGTGCTTTCAATGTGTATGTTTGTATGTATATATATGCATCTGTACACACACAAATGAAGTAATATCATAAAGCATATTTTGTTTTCTGTCTGTGCAAGTGATATTCTCTATCAACAATGAATTCACTCCTATATCTTCATAGCCTAAGTTGGAAATCCATTAATTACACAGAATATTAAATATTTATTTCGGATTTGGGTGTATAAAAACCATAACCAACCTCTGGTACCCTTTTCATTTTTCTTTACTTTCTTTTCTTCTGAGTGACAAATGAGTTTTTTCTTTCGTATGAGCTTCTAGAAATCATTCCTGTCTCCTGAGTGCCGCTTTCAACAGTAACTAAAAGTCATGTAATTTTATTCAAGTTGATTCTCTGATCTAGACTCCAGCTTCTTCTCTTGATGAACGAAAGGCTTTCAGTCCGCCTGTTTATGCCTCCCCACAGTAACATTCAAAGGGTCCTTCTCCAAGAAGCTGAAGTGAAGCAGGAATATTTACTGGTTCATTTCTATGTCTTCACCAGCAGGGGGCACCCCTGGGATTTGCAGGGGCCCTTTTCTGAAGGGTACTTCCAGACTGTATAGAAATGCTGGAAGAGGAGAGACCCAATTACATACCCATCAAGTGCCTTTAAAAAAAAAAAAAAAAAAAAAAATCAGTGTTTTGGCACACAATATTCCCTTGCAGCGTTTTCTGATTGAAACACTAGCTAACTGCATACTGTAACCAATCCTAAATGGAAAGTTCACTTTAAGAGACTTTGTGATTAATGGTGTTGCCCTGCTGCTGGTGAGAGAATGCTAAGCAACTGGCAGCATTTGTAAATTTCCCCCTTTCTCTAATGTTTAATTTGGGCCTCTCTCTCTTCCTCTAGGCCAGTGGCTCTCAATCTTGGCTGCCCCTTAAAATCACATGGAAAGCTTTAAAAATGACTGATGCCTTAAACGTTTTACTGTGTATACATGTATCAAAACATCACATGATACTCCACTAATCTGCATATTTTTATGTTTTTATGTATCAGTTCAAAATAAATTTAATTTAAATTTTTTAAAAAATTGATTACCAATGGCTAGGTCCCATCCTGGTCATCTGTATTAGTTTGTCAGGGCTGCCGTGACAATACGGAACAGCCTGGCAGGCTTCAACAACAGAAACTTATTTTGTCGTCGTTCTGAAGGCTTCAAGTCCAAGATCAAGGTGTTGGTGAGTTTGGGCTGGCAAGGTGACACACCAGGGATGAACCTTTAACGCATGAATCCTGGAGGTGGAAGACACAATCCTGCTCCTGATACCCAGCAAAGATCACTTAATTGATCTGGGGTACTGCACGGGCACTGGGGTTTGTAAGACTTTCTAATGATTTTAACTGGCAGCAAAGGTCCAGGATCACTGCTATAGGTTTTCTTCAAAGTCACTTCTATTCTAGGACTTCAAACCAGATGCCATATGATTGTAGTCATTTTCTCGATCACTGTGAAAAAATTAAGTGTTCAGCTAAAAATTGAAAGTCCGACTATTATCTGAATGTTTGTGCTCATCTAAGAAAATGCTCAGGCCTATTCTTCCTTCCTATAATAGTTGTATAATACTTTATACAACAAGCTCACTCTGGAGCTTTCATTTGCCCCATGGATAATATACTCCTGTTTGGGCATAGGCTCCTTCTGCAGGATATCCTTTTTATCAAAAATGGTGGAAATTACCAACATTCTACTGCTTTTGACTTTCAAAAAAATGTCAGTTTCATATGACTCAGCCTAATATATGTATTTTTCCTGATATAGCTACAAATAACATGTGCTTACATCATAAGTACCATAAGGTACAAAGGGATTATCTTAAATTTATAGATGAGGAAACTGAGGATAAATGACTTTCCAAGATTATGGGTCCATGAAGTGGCCCATCAGGGACTGGAACCTGTCTTCCCAGTGCCCATCTTGCTTCTCAGCTTCATTACTTAATTTGGAAAGAAAAAAAAAAGTGAACTCAAAATCACATGGGGAGGCAAAGGACTGAGAGGAACTGGTTTTGCTGGTAGAATCTGCTGTCCTTTTCCCAAACCTAAGGGGAAGGGGAGAAATAAAGAGAAGCATTGTGATCAAAGCTTACTACCTGCTTTTGCAATCCTCCTCTTCCTATGAGCCCAACCTGTTATTTTCTCTTTCGCTAAATGTGCAAAGGTTGAGGGCTTTTTCAGATGACCTCATTTGCTGGTTCCAGTCTGCAGCAGGAGAGGATGTACAAGATGCACCGTGGCCACGAGTCCATGCACGTGGAGATGATCTTGATCTTCCTCTGCACCCTGGTTGTCGCCCAGGTAGTGCTGGTGCAGTGGAGACAGAGGCACGGCCGGTCCTACAACGTGAGTCACCCCTGGCTGCTGGAAGCCCACTTAGCTTCTCATTGCCACGTTACTCCTTTGTGACCACTTTGTGTCCTTACTGCTTTGGCTTAAATCAGTGGTTTTCAAGCAGGTACAATTCTGTCCCCAAGAGATCTTTGACAATATCTGGAGACATTCTGGATTGTCACGATTTAGTTGGGGGATCAGGATGGAGGAGGAGGGGAACTGCTACTGGCATCTGGTGGGTAGAGTCCAAGGATGCTGGTCAACTTCCTACAATGGAGGGCAGCTCCCCAGTACAGAAATGATCTAGCCCAAATGTCAATCGTGGCAAGGCTGTGACAGCCGGCTTTAAGTAGACCAATTTTCCTTTTGTGTATGAATGAGTTCTGCCAATGACTAAAGCAAAGAAAGATTGGGGATAGCAGAAACAAAAGGTTGGGGCTGTCTCGTGTTGCTTCATTAGCAGTCAATAAGTAGTCATAAAGAAATATCAGCAGCTGTGTGACCATTATGCATATCCATGGAAATGTGTCCACAGCAAACACCTCAACAACACAGAGAAGTCTCTCGTTATCACAGGACAATCCCACTGGAGCATGTCTACTGGAACTTCCCCATTTCAGGGCTTAGAGTCATACTCTGTCCTTGCTGGACCTGAGACCTTGACATTGCAGTGGTTCTTAAGTCCTAGGGTGCCTGGGAATCACCTAGGTCCCACTCCCAGAGTTTCTGATTCAATAATTTACATGTCTAACAAGTTCCCAGGTGGTGCTGATGCTGCCGCTGATTCTGAGACCACTCTTTGAGCATATAAGACTTCCTATAAAATATGAAGCCTTAGCCCAGACTAGGATTTTATGTATTTTTACCCATCATAAACATTATTTCTTGTATAGTACAGGGTTTAAAAGAATTCTCAATACTATATAATATTTCAGTTTGGGAAATTTTAAAGAAAAAGAATCCCATTTTGTTTTTTTTTAGAACAAATACATGGGTTTTCTGCCATGTCACTATTGTCATGTCTATTAGTCACCCTTCATATTGTACTTGACTGATATTTTTAAATGAATCAGACTAGAATCAAACCTTGCTAGTTATTCATTCTCATATCAAAGAGAAAGTCTTTAAATATATCTTAATTATAGTTTCTCTACCTTCAAAATAACTAAGATTCAATTTCTAGAATCCTTATGTAAAAAGAAACTGGATTCCTAAGCAATTAGTTCACAGCTGTGTTCTATCTTCTCTTTTTAAGTGATAACTATCTCTAGATTAAGTACAGAAAAGAAAGTTTGGCTTCCATGGTAACAGGTGTGGGTTTTGCCTTGGAAGCTCCTTCCCTTGGAAAGAAACAAGGCCACATGAGCCGGTAACTTAATGGTGCCAAGTACCTCTGCCATTTTTATTTGATGACGTTTGAGTAGCAGACAAAAAGCCTCTGTCCTTGCCTTGTGTTTGAAGAAATTGTTCCCATGTCAACTCTAAGGATGTGTCATTACACCAGTAAGTGTAGAGCTCACACACTGGCCTCACACCTGACCCCAGATAGATGTGCCCAGCAGCCAAGACCCCTATGAAGACACATGGCCATTGCTGGGCCTGACCCTAGCTGACTTAGCCTACGCTGGACCCAGGCTGACATTTTGGAGCCTGATCACAACAGTTGGCTGGAGCATGTGAGTCATTTCCCATTGTCACTTGCAACCTCTGCCACCTGAAATGTCTCTCCACAGATACTGCTTTGGACAGCCTCCCAGACCCCCTCAGTCACCCCAGGTTTTCTCCCCAGTATTGCTGTTCCTGTCTCCTTTTATTGCACAGCTCTTGTTTTATGGCTACCCAGAGGACTCTGTGGTCCCAAGGATCGCCATGGAGATGACCGAGTGACTGTGATCATGGCCTCTCTTGCAATTTGACAAAGCCAGGGGCCTACAAAGAGATGCTCCCATAGTCGTCAAGGACAGATTTGGGTCTCATGGTGGCTCTGATGGGACCCTGCTAGGTTAGCTTAGAGATTTGGTCAGATTCTGGGATGTTTTCGACTCTTTTGTCCATCAGCCCATCTGATGGGGTCAGATAGTGAAGCTTATTTCCATGATTTGATATTGCAACCCCCATCAATCTGTTAGTAATAAGTTGAGCAGCCTCTTGCCTCTGCATGTCTCTGCTGATCCTTGTTGCTCAAGTTGAGAGCCAGTATGTGAGAACAAGCTTTCCCAGGATGGAGCCTTGACTTGAACCTGTGTTTTGAATCCCTTCTTGGAAATTCACCTCCAGAGCCAGGCACCAAACACAGCCATTTCAGGAACTCTTAGTGACATCTGCAACCATTTGAGTTGGAAACGGTTCTCAAAGCTCCAGGAGCTTATTCTAACACTGTTTTTGTTATTGTACTCTTCCTGAACAATATTTTTTTTAAAAGCTGACCAAATGTACTAACCAATTTAATGTCTTTGGGCTGGATTTTGATGTGGACATATTTCCACAAATGCTGGCCTAAAAGCTCATCCAGCTCTTAAACTATTTCTCTTGGCACCTAAGATTATGTGGGACCTACCAGCCCTGCTGAGAACTCTGAACACATTTATGATTCATGCAGTTTGGGGCTCTGTTCTAAGAGGGGCCATATAATAAAGTTTATTTTCATGATTTGATATTGTAACCCTCATCAATTTTTAGTAACATATTAATATATATCATATTAATTATAATAACACTCATAATAATTATTAGTTATTACTATAGTAATATATAAATTATAAATTTTTAAACAAATTGGTACTGGAGCCATGATAAGTGCTATTTGTATCTTAGTTATCTAGAGTGGTAATTAGTATTTTATCCCCTTTTGTGCAGTATAGCTCAGAGAACTTAAATAAGTTGGCCCAAGTCATATAACTAGTTAGTTACAGAGAGAAGACTCAATGCCAACTCCATTTGTTATTTGCTCTTATATCAAAGACAAGCTCCTTAAATATCTCTGAGCCATGATTTCCTTATCTGCAAAGATCAGGTACTTAAGGTAAGGATTTATCTTGCAGAAAGATAAGATTTCACAACTCAGAAATATTTCCCTATGAGAATTTCTAGCATGGTGATTGACACATCCTGAGTGTTTAGTACCACTAGTTGATTCTGAATGCTTTCCAATGCTTTTTCTGAAGCCAGTTCCCTAGACTGCTTTTGTGAGATGTATTAATAGGAACTAGAAGCAGGATGACGAAGGGAAGAGTGCTGGCTTAGGAGCTGGAAGACTCTAGCTACTCCCTTAACCACAGCAAGCCTCAGTTTCCTGGTATTAAAAATGATAGAATGTGAAAAAATCGGAAGGACTTCTGGTTTCAGCTCCAACATGTGAAAAACTCGGTCATCACTCCCACATTAGAAGGAAAATGTTGAATAAACCAAATATCAAAAACTTTCCTTGAACCTGTCAGAGAATTGAGATCACAAGGAAAACCACCACCTTAAAATCTACAGAAATGGGTGAATGCAGGTAAGATCTGCTCCCTGGGAGCAAAAGCCATCAGAGCCATAGACTTGTAGGGACTTCGAGAATTGCTGAACATGGAGTGTAGACTAGTGCAAGAATGGAGAAGCTCTTGGTGGCCGCAGTCTTAGGGGAACCCCACATTTTCATAAATGTTAATTCCAGGATCCCTACCGGGTTCTCATAGTAAAAACCCAAGAGGAACCCTAGTATTTCTGGCAAGTGACCATTTTGAATTAGAACAGAATCTCTTCATAAAAAGGCCAATAACACAAGGGAAAAAGATTTCACCAGAAACTTGCGCGGTGCTAAGGGAGAGAGATTACCCACCCCACCTTCCTTGAGCCTTCCTGTGCCGCCTAACAGAGTCAAAAAACTGAGAAACACCTGGGACGGTCATAGCCCAGTGACGAAAAGAGACTTAAACACGGGGTAGCAGAATTCCCCTGCTGACACAGCGCCCCGGCAGCCACACAGCTGGCCTACTAGTTCCTCCTGAGGGGCAGCAGTGGAGTGGCAGCCTGGGTGAGTTGGGGCCCAGGCAGCTAGCATGCCCTGCTGCCTCTTGGAGCCACCAGGTAGGCAGGGTGGTCCTGAAGTCCTGCAAGCCATGGCACACAGCCTTTGCTGGCCAGGCCTGGGCATGGAATGGACACCTACTTCAGACTCACTCTCCGTGCAGTGCTGCAGCTCAGAACCCGTAAGCATAGACCATCTGACAACCTCAACCTCCCACCTCCTGACCTGCAGGGAGAAAGTGGAAGTTGGGCAGACCTGAATGGAAGTGGGGACTCAAGAGTTGACCAGTAGCTCACTTTTCCAAATCCTAATTAGCACAAGTTTGAACCAGTGGCGTTGGTACTTTTTTCAAACCCTACTTAGCCTGAGTTTGGACCATTAGCAGGGACCCAAGCTCTACGTAAACCTATAGACTGGCACACTCTGATGGAGAAAAACTGCTCTTGGGTCCTCCTTTGCCTGCAAGTGTTCTGTTCCTGTGTCTATTCTTCAATTAATCCTACTCATAGACTCACTCATCTTGATCTGTGGATTTCACTCTTCAAATTCAGAAGATAAGAACCCGGAAAGAAAAAGAAATTGATGGTGAGCTGCTGGGGCCTCATCAGTGGTGGACAAAGCCCACCATCAAGAACTGCAGCATTCTTGGCTGCAGAGACCTGCAGCCTTACGCAGACTCCACCCTGCAGCAGCCGTGGAGAAACTCCAGTCTCACCTGTCCCGCCCGCCGGCAGAAGCCAGTAATCAAGTTTCATCTCAAAAATTTCGGTTTCACTGCTACTTTACCACCACATCCAGGGGTGTCCGTGAAATGCAGCAAGTTCCAGCTGAAAGAGCTTGTATAGATTCTATGTAAAAAGGTGTTTTTATGGAAACCCAGAGACAACAAACAAAGACACTAGTGGAAATTGAAGCCTCTGACACCTACAGCTAGAGCAAGCATTAAACACAGCCAGCTCCTAGTCAAATTAATACAAAACCTCATACTAATGGTCCATTTATT